CCCGCGCCTAGGAAGCGAAAGAGTGTTGCGCCGCGCCCGGCTAGCAAAGAGGCTACCCCAGAGAGTCAGCCCGATAGTCAACCTCATATGCCTACACCCGCTCAATCTGAGGAACCATCCGAGCTCCACGGTACACCCTTGGCTGATATCACCGGCGAGAGCGTCAACGAGCAACAACTCCCAGACGAGACCATTACTCAAGTCAAGCCTATCCGGCCAATGGATACCATCCTAGAGAAGCCCATGGATATTGTCCTGAAGTCACGTAAGATGGCCATGCCAGTAGTCGAAGAGACGGGGCCTAAGGCTCGCATCGTCATCACATATTTAATTTTGAATAACTTCAAGAGTTACGCTGGACGACAAGAAGTTGGACCGTTCCATTCCTCATTCTCCTCCGTAGTAGGCCCTAACGGGTCTGGCAAATCCAACGTTATTGATTCACTTCTTTTCGTCTTTGGATTCAGGGCTAGCAAGATGCGACAGGGCAAGATCTCGGCCTTGATCCACAACTCCGCTGCCTACCCTAACCTAGATCACTGCGAAGTGGCCGTACACTTCCAGGAAGTTATGGACCTGGTGAGTCCTACACGATAAACTTTCTTATATAGCTTTATACTAATTGCGTCTATAGCCTGGTGGTGGAACGGAAGTAATTCCTAACTCTCAGATCATCATCTCGAGAAAAGCTTTCAAGAATAACTCAAGCAAATACTACATCAACGGCGCAGAGTCAAATTTCACTACGGTGACTACTCTTCTTCGAGACAGGGGAATTGACCTCGACCACAAGCGTTTCCTCATTCTGCAGGGTGAAGTGGAGTCGATTGCTCAGATGAAACCCAAAGCTGCCAACGAACATGAAGATGGCCTGCTGGAGTACCTTGAAGATATCATCGGTACATCTAAGTATAAGACTCCTATCGAAGAGGCGGCAACGGAAGTTGAAACCCTCAACGAGATCTGCATGGAGAAGAGCGGCCGTGTCCAGCATGTGGAAAAAGAGAAGAATAGTCTCGAGGATAAGAAGAACAAGGCTCTAGCCTACATTCGAGATGAGAATGATTTGACACTCAAGCAGTCTGCGCTCTACCAATTGTACATCAGCGATTGCAATAACAACGTGAGCGTCACCGAAGAAGCTATCAGCCAGATGCAAGCTCAGCTTGACGACGAGCTTGAGAAGCATCAGGGTAGTGAGCAGGTCATTAAGCAGCTGCAAAAAGCGTACGCCAAAGGATCCAAAGAATTTGAGTCTCAGGACAAGCATGTCCAAAGTCTCGTCAAGGAAGCGGCTAAATTCGAACAAGAGAGAGTGAAATTCGATGAAAAGCGGAAATTCTTGACCGACAAACAGAAGAAGCTCGAGAAGACGATCGCCAATGCCGAAAACTCCACCGCCGAGGCCGAGGAAACTATTGAGCAGTGTACCGAGGAGATTGCCTCGCGCGCCGAGGAGATCACAGCCCTGGAACAGCAAGTCCAAAAGGAAGAGGTGGAACTTGCGAAGATACGAGATAGCCTCAAAGGCAAAACGCAAGTGTTCTCGGACCAAATTGCCGTCAAGCAGAAATCTCTCGAGCCCTGGAAAGAGAAGATTAATCAGAAGCAGTCAGCCATTGCCGTTGCCGAATCTGAGATGGCTATCCTTGAGGAGAAAGCCAACGCTGGAGCCGTTGCCCTTGAGGAAATGCAGACCAAGATTGCCAATATCGAAGAAGGGCGTACGGCTAAGCTTGCGGAACTAAAAGAGTGCCAGGCTGAGAAGGCGAAGTTAGAAAAGGAGGCGAAGAAAATCGAGGCGGACCTCGAGAGCTTAGCTCAGATGGAGCCGAATGTTCGCTCTAAAGTGTCAAATGCTAGACAAAAGGCGGAAGAGGCGAGATCTAGCCTCTCTCAGAACCAGAACCGAGGCAATGTGCTTACAGCATTAATGCGAATGAAGGAGTCTGGACGAATCGACGGGTTCCACGGTCGTCTCGGAAATCTTGGCACCATCGACGAGAAGTATGACGTTGCTATTTCTACAGCATGTCCTTCTCTCGACAATTTCGTTGCTGATACACTGGAGGCCGGTCAACAATGCATAGAATATCTCCGGAAGACCAACCTCGGAAGAGGCAACTTCATATGTCTAGACAAGGTTCATGCGCGCGGTTTGCAACCTATCCAGACTCCTGAAGATGCGCCGCGTCTATTTGACTTGATCAAAGCCAAAGAAGATAAATTCCGGCCTGCTTTCTATTATGCGCTAAGAGACACTCTCGTCGCTAAGGACCTGGCTCAGGCGAATCGGATCGCCTACGGCGCCAAAAGATGGCGGGTGGTCACGCTTAACGGAGAGCTCATTGACACGAGTGGTACTATGTCTGGTGGTGGAAGTACCGTCAAGAGAGGCCTGATGTCGAGCAAGCTTGTGGCTGACACGACTAAGGAGCAAGTCGCCAAACTTGAAAGCGATCGGGACTCTATCGAGGCGAAATTCCAAGAGTTCCAAGATCACCAACGGGAACTTGAGTCCCGTCTTAGATATCTAAAAGACCAGATTCCTCAATTAGACACTAAGATGCAGAAGATCGGCCTTGAAGTACAAAGTGCTGAGAAAAACCTCGTGGATGCCCAGCGACGCGTCAAGGAGCTAAGCAAGGAACACCAACCATCCCAAACTGACGACAACAGGGTCGCAGCACTTCAGAAGGAAATTTCCAAGCTGAACAAGGAAGTGACAAAGCTTCACGCGGAAACTGAAGGCGTAGAAGCAGAGATCAAGGAATTGCAAGACAAGATCATGGAGATTGGTGGCGAGAAACTTCGTGCCCAGCGTGCCAAGGTCGATGCTATCAAAGAGGAGATATCGTCTAACAACGAGGAGACTTCCAATGCTGAAGTGAAGAAGGCAAAGGCAGAGAAGTCAAAGACGAAACTCGAGAAAGACCATGCCAAGGCTACTAGAGAGTTAGAGGCTGCTGTGCGTGACCTCGAAAAGCTCGAGGAAGAGGTCGAGAATCAAGGCAGCAAATCCGAATCTTTGAATGCTAGCGTCGAGGAGGCCGAAGCGGAACTCGGGGAGAAGAAGAAGGAATTGTCTACGCTGAAGGCCGAACTAGATGAGAAGACTTCAGAACTGAACGAAACTCGAGCGGTCGAGATCGAGATGCGTAATAAGCTCGAGGAGAACCAGAAAGCGCTCGTCGAGAACCAGAAGCGTCTACGCTATTGGGATGAGAAACTCAACAAGCTTGTGCTGCAAAATGTTAGCGATCTTAGCGGCCCGCCGCCAGCCAAGAAACGGACTCAAGAGGAAGGCCAAGATGAGCCTACCGAGAACCAAGAGGAAGCACAACAAGAGCAGGAGCAAGAGCAAGAACAAGAACAAGAGCAGCAACCTGAAGAGCTCCCACGGTTTACGGATGATGAATTAAAGGATATGGACAAGGATACTCTGAAGGCCGAGATCGCTGCCCTCGAAGAAAAGACGCAGAACGTCAACGTCGATGTTAGTGTCTTATCAGAGTACCGTCGCAGAGTCGAGGAACACGCAGCTCGTTCATCCGACCTGGCGAGCGCCGTCCAACAACGCGATGCAGCTAAGAAACGGTGCGACGACCTACGACGTCTCAGGTTAGAGGGCTTCATGGAAGGCTTCAGCACTATCTCTCTTCGGCTGAAGGAGATGTACCAAATGATTACGATGGGTGGTAACGCTGAGTTGGAACTCGTCGACAGTCTGGATCCCTTCAGCGAGGGCATTCTGTTCTCCGTCATGCCGCCCAAGAAGAGTTGGAAGAACATTAGCAATCTCAGTGGTGGTGAGAAGACGTTATCCAGTCTTGCGTTGGTGTTTGCTCTACATCATTATAAACCAACACCTTTATATGTCATGGACGAGATTGACGCTGCCCTGGATTTCAGGAATGTGAGTATTCATGTTTTTGCCATCTATACAGGTTTTTTTCTTTTTTTTTGTTCTATATCACGGATTACTGACAATAATATGATTAGGTATCTATCGTGGCCAATTACATTAAGGAGCGTACCAAGAACGCTCAGTTCGTCGTCATCTCTCTACGAAACAATATGTTCGAGCTCGCCGCTCGGCTGGTCGGTGTTTACAAGGTTAACCATATGACCAAGAGCGTAACAATCGAGAACCGCGACTTTATCACCCGCGGTGTGCCAAGGCACCACAATGGCGGTCAAACGGTGGGCTTGTGATGTCATTGATGAGAGACGAATTGGAGCTGGGGTCTGGGTACCTTGATATGTATATAATGAACGATACATGCGCAGGGCATGGGCTGAATGGGCTATGATGGATGATTAGGCCGGGGAATGAAATGATGCCCAGTCGGTCTTGGAACTGATGGAAGGCGTGTAATGACAACGAATGAATATCCATTGATGGACCTGAGCGAGGTCTGTTTGAAATAAATATGTTTTGGTTAACTACCTATGCTTCCGCCAGGAAGGTCTTCAGGTCAGCGTATGGCAGCCTGGTAGTCTTCTATGATCTTGTTCCCGTTATGAACTTGTTCAGGGGGCCTATCCCAAGTATATCCGAATAGCAAGAGATTATGATACCTAATTTTGTAGTTTTCTATTTTAAAATGGTTCATTACTGCTACCTACCTACTCAACTATTAAAGATCATAGCATGTCCTATGGGTGTAACCCAAATCTATCCTCCCCCTAAGCAAGGATAACTGTATATATAGAATAATTGATTAACTAAAGGCAACTAAGTAATTGGATTAAATCCTTACTAACTGGACTGCCTCCTCCAAGCAAGTCCAAATAGTTTCGTAGGATTTAGCGATACAGTAACCCCTATCCGTACCTAATTCTCGGGCCGTACAGTATTCCATATTTGGCCCACACTGTCTTACACCTCCACAACTCTGTCATGTTTCCATGCTCAGCCACTCCCCCGCAAGCAAACGAGGCACAAAAGGCGCAGCCCAGGTTATAAGCCAACAGAAGAGCCTAATCACCATCGACCAGGGCACGTGGTCTAGGGGTATGACGTCTGCTTCGCACTGATCCAAGTATAAAAATGACCCCTAACATAGGAATCATCTTATGTACTGATCTACAGTGGTCTGCTGAAGGTCCGGGGTTCAATTCCCCGCGTGTCCATCTTTTTGCCTTTTTGGCTTCTAGTTTGTTACAGCTCATAATAAAATTTTCAATGTTGTTGAAATTTGATAATTCTTCTTTTATTTTACGTGTGTTTGAAATTGCGGGCGTTGTGTAGTGGTGGTTTGGTTGGACACTTGAGTTGCTTACTGATGAATGAATCACGAAGATGCCTTCAAGTAGACTTGATTGCAACTATGGATAAAATCCTGCGCGGGTAGATAGAACCATTGAAAACATGAAGCAACACATTTTCAATGAATGAAGTTAGACTGCACGTATAAAGGAGAATGCGGTTGAAGCTTGGGCGTATTGAATACTAAATTCCAACTAGTGATTGTCAAGGTGCGCGATGAGAATAGTAAATGTCGTGACACATCACGAATATTTAGAAGAGTGTTGCAGGGTCTGTTCAAACAATAGGCATATCCAATTCCCAACTTGCAAGTCGAGAGAAAATAGTCACGCAGGTAGAATCATACAATAGTCAAGTCAAGGACGAAAGTTTGTTCATCATGGTATATGACTTTTCATTCATAGAAGTCATTATCTCAGAAATCATGCCGAAAACCGATTTTCATGCAAAGCGAAACCATTTCCGATGCCCTGATTCATCCGAGACCCTGTTCATTCCCCGAGACACCGTAACGAAACCATTTAGGCAACCTTGGCAGTCTGGGTGGGAGTCACCTTCTTGCCATCCTTGTTGTACCGCACACGAGGCGGAGGTGCCCTGTTACGGCGACCTACACGCGATCGGACACTAGAAGATGTAATCGTTAGCGGATATTGTTCGTTCGGGTGGGTGGTGGGAACGGGGGAGGTGCGATATAATTCGCTTCGAGGTTCGGCCAAGGCTCTTCTCAGGCGCATACGCAGCCCTTGATGAGCGCGTAGTCAAACTCCCGACGGGAGGACGTACCGGACAATCTTGCCGTGAATGGCGCAAGAGACACAGTACTGCAGCTTGAGGTACATCTTGGGAACCGTGTACTCGGAGAAGACGGAGGCGTCCGAGATATCACCTGCAGTTTGGATTTGTTAGCTCAGTTCGTAGCTCATATATGTATGATGGCGCATATTCGCATATCTTCTATAGATTATATTGGATAGCGCAGGATAGACTGTAGTGGGGAGAGATGTAATAGCAATGGCGGAGGGAAAAACGTACGGATGGCAGCAGACTCGACCATGTTGCGGATGGTGAAGCGCTTGATTGCCTTATCCTTGGGTGTGCATCGCGAGCAGTTGCTGCAGCGGATGGGCTTGGTGTGGCCACGGCCCTTCTTGTTGCGGCCGTTGTTCTTTCTCTTCTTGACCATGGTGACGGTGTTCTATTTAATATGATGTTAGATATGCGATCCGATTTATCTGAGATTCAAATAATCGGGAGGCCAGTTGGAGAATCGAGGAGAGGGTTGCACATACAAGTTGTGGTTGATTGAGGTTGTCGGAGAGGAAGAAAGTGGTTCGTGGTTTGGAATTGAATGATGAATTTTGGTGGGCAAAGTTTTGGATGGTCAGAAATGTCCAAAATGTCTAAGCGTGCCCCACTGCACAGGAAATTGAACAGACCAATAAGAAAAGAATTTGAATTCGACTGGCGCGGATTGTACTTAGGTACCTGTGCAATTGTGAGCAAGCACGACAGGGTTAGCGTCTAAGAAAACCCTAGCACGTGATAAAGTACTCAATAATCCCAGCAATCGGTACTGATTTACCTGAGTTTTGCCAGGATCCACCACACTACACAGTCCAAGTCCCTTATCCAAATCTTTGAGGCTCCTCCCACCTCGAACTTTTCTTTCCCATCCACAAACCAACTTTTATCTACGTGGTGCTTAGGACGGCAATAGCAATATTGTCTAGGTACGTCTAACATTCACCAGAATACCCTCACATTCACATTCGTAGCATCCGAATTTCCCATCCGTCATGACATCTTGGGATTTGTACGCGATCGCAAAATAAATCGCATTGCAGTGCTGAGGCGCATCTCGCATCTCTCACTCATTGCGAATATTCCCAAGATCGTTTTCTATCGCAACACAACCCAAGCTAATCTTCTTCACTTGATCATTCCCGTTCATTATAATTTTAATACATTGTTTTCTAACATCATCTCAACAATAGGCAACATGCAGATCTTCGTCAAAACCCTCACGGGTAAGACTATCACCCTTGAGGTGGAGTCTTCCGACACTATCGACAATGTCAAGTCCAAGATCCAGGACAAGGAGGGAATCCCCCCCGACCAGCAGCGATTGATCTTTGCTGGAAAGCAACTTGAGGACGGCCGAACTCTCTCTGACTACAACATCCAGAAGGAGAGCACTCTTCACCTCGTCCTCCGCCTTCGTGGTGGTGCCAAGAAGCGCAAGAAGAAGGTGTACACTACCCCCAAGAAGATCAAGCACAAGCGCAAGAAGACCAAGTTAGCTGTGCTTAAGTACTACAAGGTCGATGGTGATGGCAAGATTGAGCGTCTTCGCCGCGAATGCCCTGCTGACACCGTAAGTTTTGTCACAATCTTTTCTAGCCAACATCGATTGTATTCATTGCTAATGCCATGTAAATAGTGCGGTGCTGGTATCTTCATGGCTGCCATGCAAGACCGACAGTACTGTGGCCGATGCCACCTCACCTATGTTTTCGACAAGCAGTAAACATCCCTCGATACGGCGATACGTGTACATGGGGTTCAGGATTAGGAACATGGGAACGGGGCTTACGGTGTTATCATGATAGGACATAGATGACACGGCTCGGTTAAGATGAATAAACATCATGAACAAAATTTCTGCATACCGATTTTATGTGATATCACTACATATTTCTGGATTCCCAGTGCCTCCTACCTACCGTTCGTAACCCAGTGGTAGCGAGAGCATGAATTGAGCCGCCTAGCTGTGGATTTCCTCGCTCCATTTATTTGTAGCATTGCTTCATGGAGGTGAGACGATCCCGTATGTCTTCAACTATTTTCGATGATCAGGGTCAAGTATACTAGTAATAATTTTTCTTCTTCATTGATAGTAGCTATCTGCAGCTTAATATCCGCTAGCATCTTGATGGCCACCTAGGGTGCATTCGTAGAACCCGTGTACTATTCCTCAGGGATTTATTTGACGTATCCCATACAAACCATAGGTACATCATAAACCGTTAACCATTCTATTCCCAAATCCTTCCATTCGCATTCCTATTCCATTCATTCCTGATCCTGACCGAATATCTCCTAATTATTAGGAAACCCAGCCCTCAAGTTCTCGTACTTGGTATGCGGATACGTAATACAATTCGGCGTCCGATCCAAAGCGTACGGCCCACCAAACACATCCACCACGTTCCCAATCAAACTCTGCCCCCCTTCCTTATCGGCGCTGCTCTCCCACCACATGGCACCGCCTAGCCGCCGCTCCTGCCTCACGTAGTATGCCTTGCGCCGCGCCATGTCCACCGTGTCGTAACTGACTAGCGTCCGCGTCGCCGGCAAGTAGCAGTAACTGGCCCCGGCCTCGCGGTCGATGTATTCCGTCGCACTGGGCAAGGGTAGCTTCTTGTAGTCGTGCACCCCGTTCTCCCACGTCCCTTCGCCGACGCCCGAGTAAGGGGCTCCGGGACCGTCGGTCCCTTGGAAGGCGCGTCCGTAGAGGGGCATGCCTAACACGATTTTCGAGGGGTGTACGCCGCGGGAGATGTAGTGGTCTACTGCGGAGACTGTGCTGAAGGGCGTGGATCGCGGGTTAGAGCCGCTGGGGAAGAGGTTCGCTTGGTGGCCTGATGTGGAGTCCCAGGATCCGGCGAAGTCGTACGCCATTAAGTTCCAGAAATCGAGGAGCCGGTCCATGCCGGGGATGTCGAGCTTGTTGTAGTTCTGCGCGCCGGCTGGACAGGCGACGGTTAGCTCGAAGTGGTATGGTGCGGGTAATGTGCGGCTGTAATTGTCCATGGCCTCGCGCACGGCGCGCAGAAGCGCGACGAAGTCGGAGGCTTCGGCTGGCGATTGCGGGTACTCCCAATCTACATCGATGCCGTCGAAGCCGAGATTCTTGATCAGCTCGACGCAGGAGTTGGCGAATGTGGCCCGGCCCTGCGGGGTGGAGGCGGGTTGCTTAAAGTTGCTGCTGTAGGTCCAGCCGCCGACGCTTAGGAGGACTTTGAGGTTCCGGCTGCGCCGCTTGAGCAGGTTCAGCTGCTTCAGGCAGCCGTATAGGTTCGTGCCGACGTCGTTCCAGCTGTCACCCTCCCAGTGTATGTCGGTGTCGGCCCAGGTATCGGTGAGGTAGACCTCACCGGAGTCCGGACGCACGTTGGCGAAGGCATACAGGATGTGGGTTAGCTTGTCGACGGGTAGGTCTTGTGGCCGGTGCTTGCGGCCGTAGATGGCCCAGTTGACGAAGTAAGCTACGGTGCGGAATTGTTCTGGCCCGCCTCCCATCTTTGTTTCTGTTTCTGTTTCTGTTTCTGTTTTCGTCTCTGTTTCTATGTTTTGGGAGGGAGTGAAGTAGCCCGAGATGATACGATGGGGAGCTGTCAGGAGATTGGATGAGGTGTGGTTCGAAAGTAAGGAGGGGTACAGCTGAGTTAGAAGGAGGGCTGCTAATAATACCGTCACGGGTAGGATATAATGGAAAAGAGGTCTGAGGTTGGGCATATACTAGATTTCTGGGAGATGATGATTTTTATAAGTTTCTACCTAAGAAAAGTGATCTGTAGCTTCTTCCTTTTGTCTTTGAAGTGAGCAGAATCAGGTTCAGTTCAGGTCGACTTGTGTGGCTTGGAACTTGTGCGTACACTTCGTACCTGGCAGCCTGGGTAGAGTGGCGATGCAGGATAGGTACCTCATAGCTTGGGAGCTTCACTGTATCCCAATCAAGTTTGAAATTCATGCAAACACTTAGGTCATAGCTAGACTCATTGGTCAAGTCAAGCTTGTCAGATTTCCAACTGGATAACACGGCAGCCAAGCAACTCTACGAAAGAGGCAGAGATACGTG